TGTCCTTCCCAACTGTAACTATGAACTCTATTGTTGATATCTAATATTGAAATGTATTTGTAATGTTCAAACTTAAATTCTCAACTTCTCAACTTCCTTTCAAAGATTTTGTAACTTCTTTTTACAATTTTAAGAGCAAAATCAATCAGGTTATATATTGTGCCAATCACTCAAGTTGCCAAGCAACTTTGGTACCTAATTTTGTAACTATCTTGAAAAAGTTATAATTCTAGGATATGGCTTCAGTAATTTCTAATTGAAATACCAAATTTTAAGACTTTCATATGAATAATTTACAACTCCTCAAAATTTTAAGTGAAAAAATTATTGAATTCTTGAAAAAGTTATTATTCTAGTACATGGCTCCAATAATTTGTAACTAAGATATCAAATTTTAAGACTTTTGTGTGAATAATTCAAACTCCTTTTTAAAATTTTAAGTGGAAAAAACTATTGAATTCTTGAAAAAGTTATAATTCTAAGACATGACTACATTAATTTGTAACTAAAATATCAAACCTTAAGACTTTCGTATAAATAATTGGTGACTCCTTCTCAAAATTTTGAGTGAAAAATTATTGAATTCTTGAAAAAATTATAATTTTAGGATATGGCTCCAGTAATTTACAATTAAGATACCAAATCTTAAAACTTTCGTACTAATAATTTGGAACTCTTTCTTGAAATTTTGAGTACAAAAACTATTAAATTCTTAAAAAAGTTATAACTATAGGACATGGTTTTAATAATTTGCAACTAAAATACCAAATTTTAATACTTTTGTATGAATAATTTGCAACTAAGATACTAAATTTTGCAACTGGTTTACGAATAATTTGCAACTCTTTCTCCAAATTTTGATTGGAAAAACTATTAAATTTTTGAAAAAATTATTCTAAGACATGGCTCCAGTAATTTACAACTAAGATACCAACTTTTAAGACTTTCATATGAATAATTTACAACTTTTTCTTAAAATTTTGAGTGAAAAAACTATTGAATTCTTGAAAAAGTTATAATTCTATGACATGGCTCTAGTAATTTGTAACTCAAATACCAAATTTTAAGACTTTTGTACGAATAATTTACAATTGCTTCTCAAAATTTTGAATAAAAAACTATTGAATTTTTGAAAAGTTATAATTATAAGACATGGCTCCTATAATTTGCAGCTGAGATATCAAATTTTAAGACTTCGATATGAATAATTTGCAACTCCTTCTCCAAATTTTGAGTGAAAAAATTATTAAATTCTTAAAAAAATTATAATTTTAGGATATGACTCCAATAATTTGCAACTAAAATACTTAATTTTACAACTGCCTTATGAATAATTTGCAATTACTTATCAAAATTTTAAGTGAAAAAATTATTGAATTTTTAAACTTGCAAAGCTACCAAGTTATTATTCTAGGATATTGCTCCAATAATTTGCAACTAATATACCTAATTTTGCAATTATATTATGAATAATTTGCAACCTCTGTTTAAAATTTTAAGAGAACACACTTTTAGTAATCACAAAAGATCTAAACTACAAATATAAGCTACATGTATTAATTTATCTAATGTATCTACACATATTAGTTGTCCACATACATAAAGGCATCAAGTTGAATTTACAAAAGATCGGTTACTATGTACTAAAAAAAATCCCCTAAAACTATCAATATATATATATATACACCTACATATGTCAACCAAATCTGAGTTGATCTAATCTCATGTTATAAAAATATCAACTTAGATTTACAAAAGAGGGGTTGCTATATGCCAAAAAAATCCCCTAAAACTACCCATATATATATGTCACCCAAATCTAAGTTCATGTGGTAACCTACTTACAGTAACATTAACTTGGATTTGAATTTCTACATCTCTTTTGTGTATGACCTGATTCATGGCAACGAGAATAGTAGTAAACCTTCTTCTACTGATATTGAGACTTGATCCTCACACGACGAAGCCTACCAACTAGTTAAGATGTTCTAGGAGGCAGCAAAAAGGTTTGGTTCATGAGCTCAGATAATGTCAATGCATTTAGCTTTGGCATGTCATGGGTCTCAACATGATGCATAGTGCTATTGTATTTTTTCTCATGTAAGCTATGAAGATAGCATTCTTTAACATAATTATACGCATTACTATGTACTTCTTTAATGGATGCACAAGTATGTGGATAAGGAATGCCAAACATTTGCCAAACTTTACATGTATATTCCCTTAGTATCGAATTCATACATACATCTCCACGTGGTGTTTGAACCAATACAATATAGGAGCCACACAGCTAAACTATCATAATTTTTGCCCTCAAAATATTTTCTTCAACTTTGCTTCAACATTTAAACCAACTATATTTTTCCACTCAACTTATCCTAGACCATTGAACTATCATTGCTATCTTACGTGCAAAAAAATTCTTGCCCAACTTGTCTCTCTACTCGTTTATGAGAACACATATATTATGCTTCCTCTCCTTAAGAATCCATGCGTTGAATGATTCAGCCAAATTAGTTATTATCTTATCCTATCTTCGAAATAGGAACAACAATAATACCCACTGATCAATATCACCTTAATTTTCAACCCATCTTGCTAATTGTAGAGAGAATATCTTCAAATTTTTCATGGCCATACAAAATTCATGCCCATGCCTTTCATAGGCAATATGAGCAAGCCTTTAGTGCCTTTTCCTTGCTGTTCCTTCCTATTCTCCTACAGACTTTGTTAAAATTTGAGCTAAAATTCTCCTTTACATGTTGATAGCAATATGCATTCTATCACTACCAAATATGGCTCTGACAGCACCAACAATAACATTATTTCTATCAGAAACAATAATTACCTATAGTGAACCAATGATATCTTTAATATTTTATAGAAATCAAGTCTAATCATCATGAGTTTCACTACTAACTATTGTAAAGGTTAATAGAAACAACTCATTAGCCTTATTATATGTTGAAGCTGCCAGTAAGGTACTCCAGTAAGGACCATTAAGGAAACATCCATCCACATATAAAATAGGTATAGCCCCAAGCAAGAATCTTTTGATGGAACAACCATACGTAATAAATAATCATTCAAATCTATTGTTCTCAGAAGTTACCCATTTTGCTATAGTATCAGCATCAGTCTCTATTAGTCTATTACACAACCAAAGAACAAGCATATATGATTGGTCAGGAAGCCAATTTATTTCCATTAATACCCTTTCTTTTACTCTTAAGGCTTGATGATAAGTTAAACTTATGTCATAGTCTTTATATATGTTAGCTTTGATTTTATTAGGTCTTCTTTTCACACAAGACCTTACTACGTCATCAATAATAGACGATATCTGTATGCACCTTGTATTGTAAGAAACTTCAAGGTCTTCTTAGGCAGAATGTAAGTGTTCATTCTTGAAAGTTGTTACACAAAGCAAAGGCATTGACTTCTTTAATGAATATGTTGTCATCTTCCATTGACATCCTTTTACCTTGCATCCTTCAATTATTTTATTTGTATTGTTCTTCACAAATTTATATTTAAACCTGTGTGAAATACTATACTTGTAAATTGCTTGTCTATAATCATCCGCACTCATAAAAATCTACTCAGGTCCTACTAGTAAATCCTTCTATTTTATTCCATTTAGCTCAGGCATTAATGTTAGAATACTTTGCATTGCACACGATAGCACTTTAAGATCTTGTTTAGCATGTGAATTTTAATTGAACATCCTGCTCTGCATTTCTATTCAAATCATATATTATTCATTCATAATCATGTTAGCACAATAGTTAAATTTAAGTAACTATTAAAAAAATGTACCCATCAATTGGATCTTTTGTTACCTCTATGCTTTGTTGTATCTTTCTAATAATGTACCTATGAGCAAAATTATCATTCAATTTCATTAATTGATTTATTCCTTCATCATCTTTAAGGTCTAAAAATACATTACATTCAAACTTTACTGTATACTTCAACTCTATTCCATTTAAATCACAATTCAAGCATGATGAAGTCAATCTAACTAGTTTTTCAAGAGACATTTCTTCTTCGATCATTCTTCCACTACAACTCCCTCCATCATAATACATTGTCCCATGTATATCTTTTGCAATATCTTCACCAAAATGAAAATAAAAAAATATTTCCTTTAAACAACTACTTTCTATAATACCCAATAACATCAACCTATAACAAACAAAATAAAATGTCATATTATATGACTCTGAAACAAGTTACTTTTGGCATTATCAATTTTTGCGTTAGTGAGACAGTGACAACGTTCCATCTTAAAATGTGAATACTCGATGATAAATTCTTACACTTTCAATTGTAAAATATCGAATCTTCATGCCAAATTTTTAGAAATATGAAATTAAGAAAAAAATTATATTCAGTTGCAAAAAACCATTCTATATTTTTGTTCACGATTGTCATTTTGCAATAGAATCAAAGCTTACTTGAGTCAATCTTTTAATTCAGACTACAAGGATTTGCCAAAAAAAAAAATATCTAAATACACTAGCCAAAAAAATTGATATACACAGAAAATAAAAGCTTACTTGAGTTAATAATTATGAAAAGTGCATCTCGTCCATACGCAACTCTATTCTTGGTTGGATATTCTTCAACATGTCTCTCCTCCACTTATATGTAGGTCTCATTAATGGTGAGAAGGAATTTGCTGGAGAGGAAGATGCTAAAGCTAATATGATGAGTGTTAATATTATATTTAATCATAGGCATATTTTAGTCATTTCCACTATAACTTAGATTTATGAAAAAAAGCATGAGACTTGATTGACTTTTTACAATTATTTAGAATTTGACTAGATTTAATTATTCTTTTTGGACTTAATTGTCATTCTTTTAAAAATAAAAATAAAAATTTATTAAATTTTAAAATAAAATTAATAATATTTAAAAAATTTTTTAATTCTAATACACCATCCTCAAAGTGTGTGACTTGGAAAAACAGGATTAGGTGGAGCATCTCAGATTCCCGGCTCCGTTTTCCCAATTGACTGCAATCATGATCAAATTTTAAGACGCTACTCTCGATCAAGCTTTATCCACAGGTCTTCTCTTTCTTCCTTCCACAATCCATCCAGCGTCTAGCAGAAACCCTTGATTGTATTTTTCTGTTCCGGACTACATGGTGTTGTTTGAGCTAGGTCATTATTTTATTTTCTTTTACTTTTGAAAAGGAGTGCTTTTCCCAGATTACCGTTCCTTTGTATGATATGGGAGGGCCACTACAATTGTGGAATGGGAGACTGGTCACGCTTCTGCTGTTGATGCCAGGAGTTCTGGGTTGGGGAGATGAAGGCCACTATGCGATTTGTAAAATAGCGGAGGTGAGTTTAATCGTCAATTTTTTCAGTCTATAGTTGTGAAATTTTACGTTTTTGTCAATCATTTTTTGGTTCTAGATATTCTAAATTTGATTGATAAGGGACTGAGATACACTGAAGATATGGACTCAAGATATTGTTAAGTGCTGTTTTTTAAGATAAATCTCTAAGAGTTAATTGATTTTGGGATACTAAAAAGAGAAATCTTCCGGTGTTTTGAAGGAGTATCTTAGTGAAGATGCTCTATTTGCAGTGAAACAGTTGCTTCCTCATTCTGCTGAAGGTGATTTTGCTGCAGTTTGCTCTTGGGCTGATAAGATTCGGTTCCATTACCACTGGAGTAGTCCTTTACATTATGTTGACACTCCAGATTTCAAATGTAACTATAAATACTGCAGTAAGTTATGGCCTTTAATTCTTGATCTGGTTTGGAAGTTTTGAGTGTACTTCGTTATCAAGAGCTCCTCAAGTTGTGTTATAATTCTTGTAGGAGACTGCCATGATTCTTATGGACATAAAGATAGATGTGTGACCGGAGCGATATACAACTATACAATGCAACTCAAATCAGCTTATGCAGGCAATAATTCTGATTTAAGATGTAAGCCCTTGTGGAGGTGGGTTCTTAACTTGCTCGCTCAGTAATCAAATAGTTTTCTTACATGTACTGTTTTTTTCCTTTCTCGTTTACAGACAATTTGACTGAGGCACTTATGTTCTTGTCACATTTTGTTGGGGATGTCCATCAGGTTTGATTTTCTTAGCGCTTGTGACTGCCGTGCACTTCAAGTCACTTTCAAAATGCAATCAATTCAAAAATCGATTACTGGGACTCCAATGAACAGCATTAGATACCTGTTTTAAAATCTCCATATGCTATCTTACAAGACTTTTTCTACAGTTGGGCTTGTCCCTCTGTTGTCTGCATCTTGGCATCATCAGATTGGAATCTGATGTAGTCTAAATTATTTGATAAGAAAAACCCCTTGGTTGGCACGTCATACTTTACTGTTTGAGTTTACCTATTTGGTAGATGAGTTAAAAAATGATAGCTGCCAACCCTACAAAATAGATTATATGTGAAACGGAAGAAAATTTATGAGTAACATAGTTCAATTTCTTTTGGATGGACTATTGTTAATTTCCTACGTTCAGTGTACAAATTCTTACGAATTGTTAAAAATATAATTTACTTTGATTGTCTTATCCTTGTCTTTCAAACTCCTGCTTTAAAGGATACATTGTTTCTGTTTCCCATTTTCTGCCACAGCCCTTGCATGTTGGTTTCACCGGGGACCTTGGTGGGAACACTATAATAGTTCGTTGGTACCGCAGGAAAACAAATCTTCATCATGTGAGTGCTAGGTTATTATCTTGCTATGTTGGCAAAATGAGCTGGAAAAAAGTTGTGTATCTAAGGTTTTGTAGGTCAAGCATCGGTAGTGAAAGATTCATCTGCTTTTGATATATGTCAATTACTTTGCCATCAAGCTCTCTTCTGTTTCTTTTGCCTTTTTGATCTGTAGGTTATCAGGATTGAGTGGTCTATTTTCTTCTTAATGTGCTGCTTATTCAGTAAATCTGATTTTGGTCCAGGTATGGGATACCATGATTATTGATTCTGCTCTAAAACAATTCTATAGCTCAGACCTTTCAACTATGATACAAGCCATCCAAACTAACATTACAGTAAGTTTATGCTCTATGTTTGTGTGCATTTATTACAACAGCTTAAGAACGTGATAATGATCTATTAAAGACTGCATGATATTGACGATCCTTTTCACTATGCATGTTTCTGGCTTTTTTGCCATTGTAATCTCAAAATCTTTTCTTTTTTTTTTTTATCATTCAGCAAAAAAAAAAAAAGGAACAAAAAAAGAGTCCAGCTGCTCTCTTTTCTTTTGCAGAATGCAGCCTTTAATTATCATTTTCAAACTTCCTCTATCTTTGCAGACATTTGTTCCAACTACTAACTAGAAGTCTATAGAATATTGATGGAGGACAAGGAGGAAGGAGGGGGGAGAAGAGAGAAGGATTTTGCCTACGAGGAAGCAAGATAAAGCCATAATAATAATTCACTAAAATACTAAATAGATCCCTCCTAATATCCTAAAATACTAAATATCCTTCCTAATATCTCATTATTTATTTCCCATCAAGTATCTTCTTATGAAGGCTTTTTGAAAGTGAATTTCATGCTTTATTACCATGATAATATTTTGCTTTGACTTGACAGCCAGAGACTGACTACTATTTTTTCTCACTTTCTGAAGCAAACTTGGTCCAATGATTTATCAAGCTGGGAAGACTGTGCAAATAACTACACTACTTGTCCAGATCGGTATATACACTATATAATTTCCATTCAACTTTTCTTGTCTTTTTTGCACATCTGAATGCTTATCGCTTCACACCCTCGGGAACAGTATTATACTGGTTATGTTTTGTATTGCCAACCTACTGACAATACTTTCACATGCACTTTATCTTGCCAATTAGTATGCATAGATATTATGTACGCATTCAATAGATTTTATTTCCTTAACTATCTGCTGCATTTTCTTTACTTGAGCAGTTGAAAGCCATAATCTACCCTTTATTTGTGATATTGACAAAATTATGGGATATATTTATTTCTGTACATCATTCTAATTTTAATGGATGACCCTGAAGAGATGGAAAGAAGATCTTTGTTTTTGTATAGATTCAGAAGCTTATGTAAGATATCTTTTTTCACTCTATGACTTGGTTACTAATTATCATTCAGGTATGCTTCTGAGAGTGTGAGTTTAGCATGCAAATTTGCTTACAGGAATGCAACGCCAGGAAGCACTTTGGAAGGTATTTCCACTTTCTTACCTATCAAACAACGCCAGATTCTTGAGCTAGAAAGTTTTTTCCCATGTGGGATGTGCTTGTTTTCTCATCTTCTTTGTGAGTTTAATCTCATGGGTATGTTAAGGGAGTTTTCTTAAGACACACGCATTCCTAACTCTCTTCCTTTGCAAAATATAGCAGTATACTTTAAAGTATATCATTAGTAATTGATTTGGCTTACAAGAAGAACCTTGGATAGACCACCTCAAAAGTTAACTCACCAGATTAGAGAGGCTCAAGTTCATGTATAAACCCCATGTTGAAATTTTGTAGCTTAATAAATGGGAATCTAGTCCCTTACCTTACAATTGTGTTTAAACATTCTGCTGGCTTTGTCTCTTTTGGGTAAACTGAGTCTACTTAAGAAAAGTTCCAATCTCTTGATAAACTTTATTTGATTGCATAGATGAGTACTTCCTTTCTCGGCTTCCTATAGTGGAGAAAAGACTGGCTCAGAGTGGCCTGCGGTTGGCTGCAACCCTAAACCGCATATTTGCTTCTCAGACCAGAATTGTTCAAAGCTTAAAGATACACGGGGACATTGGCGTTTCTTAGTGTATTATTCCCCACAATGATGTGTACTTTATGTAAATTAAAGGCAGCAACAAATCTTATCTCACTAAATGAGATCGGTTACATAAATTGTGTAACATCATTGTCTTCTGTATTATTCATCATGAAATCATGTAAATCAGATACCAATGGTATCAGATGTTTCTGATTTATCTTCTTTGCTTTCCAATTGCCAACCTTTAGGCACAAAGCTTGAACTTTTATTGCTGACATGCAAATTCAAGAGAGTGGATGAAAAAGTGGATATAATTGCAGTGGTTATACCCGAATATGCTCATCTTGCTTGTGCTTTAGGTAAACCGTGTTTGAAACTTGCACTCAACGAAGACGTGGTTTCATTGTTCAACAGCTCGCTGAAATATTGGGAGTTTGAAACTGATTCAAACTGGTTTGTTCCGCCCGTAAAGTCATTAGTTTTTTTTTTTTGGGTAAAAAAAAAAAAGGCTCAACTTTAATAGATTTCTTAACGCATAGATTGATTTCTAAGGAGGCCTTGTTGGTACGACAATATTTTCCTTTTAAGTTGATTTATTTCCCTCAAGTGTTGATTTTTTTTCCCTTTTCGGTGGTTTTGGAATTTGACAAGTGAGTTTCAAATTGAAAGGGAATTTTTCAAGCTAATGTTGAAGTGAATTCTCTTTCTTACTATTTTTAATAAAAATAAACTCGGATAATTTGTTTGATATTTTAAGTTATTATTTTATACTACAAAATGATCATAAAAAAGGGTTGCCTCCTATAATTTACTCAAAAACTGATGGCTGAATTTAGTGATTTCGCTAATATGAAAGACTCATCATATGGTATACTTTTCCCTTAATCTTAAGTTATAAAAAAAATATCAATCAAGAATTATTAAAAAAAATTTATATCAGTCAAAAATTACTTTTTGTTAAATCTCAAATGGATAGATATTTGTTAATTCAGTTAGTTTTTTATTAAAAAGTGTTTATTCAGATTTTAATAACAATTTATTTGGGCTTATTTTTCATTTAGGTTTTGACAATAAATAATTCTTGGCTAATATAAATTTCCTCTAGTAGTCTTTGATTGTTATTTTCCATAAATTATAATATATTTTTTGATAAAATCACACAAATTAGTAAAATTCATTAGATATACTTTATAACTTTATTTTTTTAAAATAAAAATTTAAAATTTAAAAAATATCCTTTATTTAATAATTCACTTGTGAAAGAATATTAGGAGAGAATATAATGAAAAAATAATATTAAAAAAATTATTAATAAAATTTTATTTTTATCAAATTATTTTATATTTTAGGACGTTAAATTTTCTCCAAAAAAATTTTATAATTTGAGATAAATGAAGTATAACTGTGCAACATTTTGTTTTGAAATGAATATTGAATAACATTTAAATGTTGGAGTTTTGACACAACATTAACGGCCCAGATAGTTTAACTCGGATATATTTATTAAAACTGGTTGTTTTTTTTCCCTCATTCATGACCTTTTTACCCTAGAAAGATTCGTTTTATACAAACTAATCTGAAAATTATATACTTAAATAAACCACTCGTCAACCAATCAATTCCAACTAATGGATATTACTCCTTCCATTTCTATATATAAAATATTTTTTAAAGGTTTATCTTATCTTTAAATGTAAAAAGTGTCATAATAATTTTATGTAATTAGAGAATTTTATCCTTGTCTCAGGAAGGGAAAAAGATATTACTTGTGCGCTTTACTCACCACAATGATATTAATTGTGACATGTATTAGGGGAAAAACTATAAAAAAATGCTGTGATTTTGAGTTTTCAACCAATTAACAAAATTGTGTTAAGTACGTAAAATTTAATTAAAAATACTTTATATATAAGAACGAAATGAGTAGTATATTATTGAGAAGGTGGCCAAATATATATATAGGCTAACTTACATGTAACTTTTCTAAATTTTGAACCATTTAAATAAACTCCTTAATCTCTAAAACTTAATAATAAAGTTCTTTGAACTTTTAGATTTATGCAAATAACTCATAGTCATTAATTATATACACTTTTAAATTTTATTTTTATATGCATTTAAGCTTTCAAATTTTGACTGATATACAGATAACCCCCCTAAACTTCAAATTATATGTAAATAATTAATATATAAAATTAATCACATAGTTATCTGTATAAATATATAAGTTGATGGCGGTTTATTGTGAAGTTTAAAAATTAACGAGGTTATGTTTATATGGTTCAAAATTTACAGGAGTAAGGTATATCCTAGTTAAAAAAATTGTCACATGATGAATAATTAGTATTGTGCATTTTTAAATTTTGTTTTTATTTCTTAAAGTTGGTGATCATGTTCATTTGTGGCTGCTCATTGCTTCCAAGAATACTTGCTGAAACTTGAAGAGATAAAACAAACAGAATAACGCGTCTTGGTTAACCTCTTTGTGTATATATAATGTGATTTAATCATATTTGCAAATAGGTTTGGATAGGTTGGTGTGATTGGGGACCGATAGGATTTTGATTGAAGATATACAATAGGTGAGTTGAACATGAATAAACCTTTCTTCAAAACCTAGCGTCAACTTTTGTATGAGATAATATATAAATTGCACATGAAGTTATCCTATATATATTATTTAGTGTTTGGAGATAGACATGTGCCTTATACGCACCAGAATATGGCCATGATGTACTTGATATTTAAAACTTGCACTCATTCCCTTGAGAACTCTTCAACGTGGTTCTTCACCGCTACTCTATGTACGTATATATTATTGTGAGTTGTGGATCAGCTTGATGATACTTTAAGCTTGTTTCATCCTTGCACTTGAATTTCTTGAAGAGAAGAAGAAGAAAATACACACACATATACACACACACAAGAAGGTGATCAGAGAGAGGGGAATAATAATATAATTAGGAGAAATGGGTAGGTGTGTGTGGGGATTATTTCTAGTGTTAGGGTTTGTAGTGTTCATGACTGTGCCTGGAGCTAGTGCTTGGAGCAAAGAGGGTCATATGATGACTTGCAAAATTGCACAGGTAGCTACCTTTTCATTCTTTTTAATTTTCCCCCTCTGCCCTCAATAAATTTCTAATTACAAGTCACTGAAACTGTTCCAAAACTCCAATCATATGGGAAATTCTTCTTTCTGTGTAGGTTTTTGTTTTTGCTTTTTTTTTGGGGGGGGGAGGTTGGGGAGGGGGGTTCTTTTCAACTGTGAACTATGAGTGTTCTTTTTCTAGGACTCTTTGTGCTCTTATTCTTTGAAATTTGAATTGTTATTTTTTCTGTTCTAATTATTTTGGTGGAGATCCTGCCAAATGATGATGAGCATCAATAAATAAGTTCTCTATTTGTGCGTATTATCCTTGTGCAAGGGTCATGATAATTTTCTCTGTATCATTTTAATTTTATCAGATGTCCCTGAAGGAACATAAGGTGTTTTACAATTAAACTTATAGCATAGCATGTTTTACAATTCCCAAATTATAGGAGTGAGACTAGTTGTTCATACGAAATTTGAAATAACCATGTTGTTATATATAGTATATATATGGTCGGTATAATTTTAAAAGATATATTAGTGACGAAGCCAAGATCCTGAGCAAAAGGTGCAGGACAATATAATTTAAAAATTAATAATTAAAAATAATATTCTAATTTTTAAAATTAATTGCATTAGGCAAAAAATATAGTAACACAAGTAAAATTATGCATATTGTTATTTGGGCAAAATATTTTGAGAATGTTAATATCAAGTTTAAATTTGGACCCCATATATTTTTTATCAAATCTAGAGAGTTCAAAATACTAAAAAATGAATATGAAGTGCAAGATTGTAAGTTTTTCCTACTATATATGTGATTTTCTCCATGTGAGGGGATACATTTGCCCCCCTCACATAGATATATGGATTGATAAGATAGGAGGATTAAGTAACACAAACCTTACAAGTAATTCCCGTTGGGTTTGTGTTCCCTTTTTAAGCAAGACTCAATATTAAAGATTTTCACGAGTCACTAACTAAAATGGAGACGGTCCAGACCAGGGTGAGTGAAAGAGTCATATTCAAGGTGCAAGTGCAACCATTTGAAATAGTGGGGGGAGAGAGAGAGCCGTTTTCACATTTTTATAAAGCAGTCTCAGTAAATATGCATTTACGAACTCATTAATTGTTCTATTGGGCTCAAATTTTGTCATCTTGTTTAGAACATCTAGCCCGTCATCTTCAACAGGTGGATATCTACTTTGTTGTCTAATATGTGAGCTATTACGTTCTTATCACAGCATATAGTTTGAGTGTTTTTCATCTTTCTCAGTTTTTTTTTTTTTTTTTGTGGGTAAAATTGTCACTTTGATGCCTTGGCTGGTTGTTTGTATTTATTTGGGGGTCTAATTGAGTCTCTCTTTTACCCTATTTTATAGATATGTTTTTCATTGTTCTAAATGACATGTGATTTTTACCCTTGCATTGAGGAAGTTTTGTACCTTAATAATTTATGGCATCTGTGGTTGTGCTATTCATTTTCGATCATATATCCTCTCCGAGATGTGAGCAAGTAATGAGAATTTTTTGCTGCATATAAATTATTAGGCTATGCTTTTCTCATCCATCCATCCCCCTATATGAACATATAAATATCCTAATAAAGCGTTACTTTTGCCATTTGCCACTATACTTGAGGGCTCTATCCCATATATTAGTAACTAAGAATTCACAATTGAGAGTTGCTAAGAGGTAATAAATGGGGATGATGACAGTCGCTGCTAGAGGCGGAGGCAGAAGAAGCTGTGAAGAATTTGTTGCCAGATTATGTGAAAGGAGATTTATCAGCTCTCTGCATTTGGCCCGATCAGATCAGGCATTGGCACAATTATCGGTGGACCAGTCCTCTTCATTTCATCGACACTCCTGACAACAAATGCTCTTTTGATTATTCCCGTATGTTCTTCTTCTTCAATTCATTAAACCCTTCTTCTTCAATCTTTTCTATTACTCATACATAATCTTTTCTATTACAGGGGATTGCCATGATTCTAATGGGTTGCAGGACATGTGTGTTGCTGGTGCCATCCAGAATTTCACTTCCCAGCTTCTGCATTATAGAGAAGGCACTGGTGATCGTCGACGTATGCTTCTCATTCCTTTTTTTCTCGTTTTGTTTCCTTCAAGGATTTCACTCATCTTTTTAATGGATTGCTTCATTCTGCAGATAATATGACTGAGGCTTTGTTGTTCTTGTCTCACTTCATGGGAGATCTTCATCAGGTTTCTCACTTGTTTCTTCTCTTCAACTCACAATTTTTGCTTTGCTTAGCTTCTTGCCAGATTTATCATCGGATTCTTTCTTCTTGTTTCAGCCAATGCATGTTGGATTCACTAGTGACGAAGGAGGAAACACTATAGAACTTCGCTGGTTCAGGCACAAATCCAATCTCCACCATGCAAGTCTCAGCTTTCACCATTTAATATTATCCTGAAAATTGAGGAAAAATCAAATAATCAAGAATCAAAACTTTTCCTTCTTATATATATATCTCTTGTATGCATGACCCGCACATCTTTTGCATTATTCGGATGGCTACCATGAGGCTACCTAATTAATTTGTGTCAGTTTAGAAGTTGTTTCTTCAAGTGACAAGATACTTTTCACGTGTGATTCAGGTGTGGGACAAAGAGATCATTGTCACTGCTTTAAAAGATTATTATGAGAATGATTTGGACCTTCTCTTGGAAGACATAGAAGGGAACTACACAGATGTAAGACGCAACCTGTCAAGCTTTAACGCGCATATAGTTTCTTAACTTGGTCTGTCCCACAACAAAATCAATCAACCATTTCAAACTCACTTATGTAGTGAATTGTTATGCACAGGGTATCTGGTCCGATGATGTTCCATCTTGGAATCACTGTGAAGACCTCTCTAACTGTGTAAACAGGTCAGCTTCCTCAGCACACATTGTCTTCCCGGACAAATCTTTAAGACCCTATCACGTTATATTTATATATATGTGGGCGCGCGCACCTTGTGTTGGAATGGACAGGTGGGCAAAAGAGAGCATACAAATAGCTTGCAAATGGGGTTACAAAGGGGTTGAGTCTGGTATGACTCTATCAGGTAAGACAATAATTCAACTTAGTTTGTCAACTTTACACACAATCTTTATGATACTAACATCAGCAAAAGCTCAACACTGATTCATCACAATTGTGAGACTGAGATGCTCATTATGTTGGTTTATGTGTATTTATATACAGATGATTACTTCAACACGAGGATGCCATTGGTGATGAAACGCATAACTCAAGGTGGGATTCGATTGGCCATGATTCTGAACCAGGTGTTCGGGGACCCTAAGGAAGGTTTTGCAGCTGCAACTTGATTAAGCACTCTAACCACCACAGATATGGACAGCAAATTAATAGCTAGTTGGCTAACCCAGTTTGCAATTAAATTATGTCATTTTCAGCTTTAGGAATTTGTTAATCATGGTTTTCATTTAGCTGGAAGAAAATTAAAAGAAAAAGAAAAATATTTTGTATTCATTGGTGTATAAGAAGTTCACAGGATGCAATTCGTTGTAATTGATCGAATAAAGCCACTGCCATTGATAAAGTTGTTTCCCGTGCATTTTGAAGTCTTTTCTGTACAAAGAGAGTGAGATATTGTCAGCGTCTAATAATAGTTACGGCCAGTGGCTCCAGAACTAAAGGTGCAAAATAATGTAATAAAAATTAATATTTTTTAAATAATAATTATGCTTGAACTAAAATTGTAATAACATAAATAGATTGATAATTATTTTTTATTTTAAAAAAAATTATATTGAACATATTGATATAGTCTTTTATTATAAATATACTCTTCATATCCAATCTAAATCATTAAAATATTATATATCTAATAAGTTTTTGAGCTCAAATATTTTTTATTTAATTTAAAGAATACAAAATATCAAGAATAGAAGTGCAAAGTTGCAAAATTTACATATCTCATTTGTAATTTTTTCTAAAGTGAGTGTATGCATTTGCATCCCCTCTGCCACTCGCTACCACAATATGCAGCAAAGCGGCAAATTGACTGGTGTACTGCAAAAAACAAATTTATTTATTAAAATACTACAAATTTAAAAATATTTATTAAAATGCTATAAATTAAAAATCGATTCAATAAAACCAAGTTTAAATTTAACCTTTTCAGTATGAGAAGAATAAAAGTTGGACTGGGTGACACTGAATTTAGTACAACTAATATAAAAAAAATTGTATTAGGTGTGACAAGAATGATTACCATTATCTCAATATTTTTAAGGCCAAACTTCTTTTCTCCCTCCCTCACTCTCCTTAATAAGATTAACTCCTCATGCCCTCTTGCAAACTGAAGCAACATTCTTTATCCCATGCATATAGCATATAGTAATATATAGATATTATATATAGTATGTAGAAAAAAAATTATATATTTACATTTTTTAATTTTTAAATAATTTAAAACTAAAAATGATAAATTATAAAATGGATATTTATATTTTAGCATGAAATTTAAATAGAATGTTTTAATTTTTTTCAGGAATTGTACAAGGTTTTTCAAAAATCAGTGCTATCACTTTTTTCTTAAAAAAATATATGATAAAATAATGAGATGCTTTTAAGAAAATAAAAATATTTATGTAATTAACATTATATATTTAACATTAATAATAATATTTTTCTATGAGATAAATAATAGGAAGAAGGACAAATAAATATCTCTAAAATAAAAAATAATAATTTAATCCTTTGAAATATGATAATACTTTTTAAGTCCTAAGGGACCTAACTATCATTAAAGATTATGATAAAATAACAAAAATACTACTTAATTTTAAAAAGTGAAGAATAATGGTGGGAGGAAGTTATAAATTCCTAAATCATTTTACTCATTTATTGAATTAGATATAAATTTTAAAACCAAAATTGTGAATGAAAAAACCTTTGATGCATTTTGCTAATTGCAAAAAAAATAGTAAGAAACAGTTGTGAATGCCTAGCTTAGTAAATGACAAAGTGCAACTTTTATCTAATAACAAATTTTAATATATTTAAGTCTTTTCATTTTCTTAAAAACATCTCATTATTTTATCATATATTTAAAAAAATGATAACATTGATTTTTGAAAAACCTTCTATAATTTCAGGAAAAAATTTTAAAACTTGCTATTTAAAATTTATGATAAAATATAAATATCCATTTTATATTTTATCAATTTCAGTTTTAAATTTAAATACATATATATAATTCGTTTCAATATATTTACAATTATATTAAAAAGAGAAATTATTTAAAAATTATAAAATGTAAATATATAATTCTTTTCTACAATATAACATTTATATATTACTACATACTATATGTATGAGATAAAGCAAGCTGCTTAAGCTTGCAAGAGGGCATGAAGAATTAGTTTTATTGATGAGAGAGGGAGGTAAAAAGAGGTTTGACTTAAGAGATAATGAGTCAATAATAATCAATCTTGTCACATCCGATATATTTTTTTTATATTAGTTGTATGAAACTCAATATCACCCACCTAACTTCTATTCTTTTCACATTGAAAAAGTCAAATATGAATTTGGTGTCATTGAACCAATTTTCAATTTATAGCATTTTATTAAATATTTTTGAATTTGTAATATTTTGGTAAATAAATTTGTTTTTTACAGTACGCTGGTTAATTTATCCAACAAAACACTTGATCATTGTAATCTTTTATATTGGTGAAAAGCTTAAGTATAATCACTTAGCTTCTTCCCACGAGGAAAGGCTGTTGAACTTAAAATATAGATGATCACCAGTTCATTTTATCAAATGCTGGTATTTGGTCTTCATTAGGAGATGGAAGCAAATATGTAACCGATAACCTTTTGGCCACAGAACTCTGCTAATTTGCTTAGAATACTAATCTCATCTTCCCCACAGCACCTATAATTGGGCAGAGCCGGTAGACAGGTGGGTCTAATCCATATAGGCATGGCTTTTATGAGTGAGGCCATTTATGCCCAGAGCTTAAAATCCTGTTATTTTTAAGTTGGCTATTTATTTAAACTTGATCTTTATTAATTGAACTCATGTTCAAGTTTGTAAGTCCTTTCTTAAATTTTTAGATGTTTTTTTCAAAAAAAAAATTTACATTAGAATGTTACATATTCTTTTTCTAAAATATAAAATACAATATTTAAAAATTCAAAATAAGTAGCATGAATTCTAATTTTAAATTTTAAATTTAATTTAAAAATTAAAAATATTTTATTTTTTATAGGTAAAACTGAATGCAAACTTAAATGGGTAGCTCGCATTTTTCAGAACTTAAACAAGTCATATTTAGAAGGCTTTTTATATGCAAATGTATCAATTTTTAAAACCCAAGCAAAGAAAAATGAATTTAAACTAGTCAAATAAACTCGGCCGATCCCGGCTCTAAGAATAAGGCTTGCAAAACTCTCAAACACACTCATAATTTAAAAATTATGTGCTTATATAAAAATAAAACATGCATAGACCAATCTATTCCAACTAATAAATTACTAAGACGGTGGCCTAATATATGTATTTCTAATTACAAAATTGTCAAATGATCATCGATGTATAGTTACTAATTTCTCAATGTAATGTTCTTCTCCACATTGATTAATTGCAAGTAATAGACGCCAACGCACGTAGTTATCTATTTCTAATCATTCCTATAATAATTTATTGTCATCCACATGGCCAAAACCTAACCTGCAGATTATTAGGACATCAAATCACTTACATACATACATACATATATATATATATATATATATATGAAGAGGATATTGATTGAAGAACAGAAGTGCACACGGATCTTAGATGATCAGCTCAACGTATAAATTAACTTCTGCAGAACCTACGAACGTCAACTTTTGTAATGAGATAATCATAAAAATTGCGCATGAACGTCTCTAGCCTACAACATATATTATTTAGTTTTGATGATGCCTTTGTACTTGGCAGAATATGCCCCTCATCAAAGTCAACATTGAGGGTAATGCTTAACAATCAAAAGCTGCACTCAATCAATTGAACTGGTCTTATTATATTTATGTATATGTATTATATATTCTGAGTTGTGAATTAGTCTGGTCCTCTCAAAGCTTGCATTTGAATCTCTTGAAGAAGAAGAAGAGATAAAAGCATATCTTACAGAGAGGAAGGGGGGGGATGGGTAGGTTTGTATGGGGAACATATCCTGTTCTGGGGTTTGTTTTGGTCATAACAGTACCTGGAGCTCTTGCCTGGAGCAAAGAAGGCCATACCATGACCTGCAGAATAGCACAGGTACATTCTCATTTCTTTTTTAAAATTTTCTCTCAATAAATCAACTACCCATGCGTGAGGCTTAAAATCATTCATTCCAATTGATTGAATCTGTTTAAGGCATGTCCAAGTCTCCACTGATTTGGGAAATTGACTCAAAGAAGATAGTACAGATCATATACGGTTTCAAAGTCTTTTCAGTATGTTCTTTCCCTTGGACTATTTGCGTACTTAATTTTTTTTTTAATTTTACTTTTATAGGCCATTTTCATTTGTATGTATGTATGCATGTATATTCTCTGCCTTCTTTTCCATTTTTAATGTATCTTAAGTTGTTTAAAAGGCTATCCTATAATTACTTCATAACATGTGACTTGTAATTTATAATTGTGAGAGGATTTGAACTCAACAAGTGACCTATAAGTCTATTCACTCAATGCTCATGTGGTACGATAATAATTTTTCAATTTAATTGAACAATTGTAAGAGATATTGTTGTAAATTTTTAGAGAGAACAACATATATGAAAAATGTTATAATCGTGAGTATTTAGATTGAGTGTTTTAAGTACACTCACTCAATGAATGTCTCAGTTATAGCCATTAGATTTCATCAATACTTAAAAATTATCAAGATATATTTCCCTCCAAATATTCAAAACAATCAACACAATGAAAACACTCTTTACTTATATTGTTCCCTCTAAAATTTGAGATTTGATCATTTTTTAGTATTATATAACAAAATTTTTTACTACTTTTTAATTAAATCAAATTATTGTTACCATGCCATTTGAAATATTCTATGAGTAAGTGTGCTCAAGCTATTTAGTGGGTGACTATTGTTTTGAATTTTTGAAGGAAAATATATTTTGATAATTTTTAAGTAATGATAAATCTAATGGCTGTAATCAATATACTTATTGAGTTTGTAGACTAACTAAGTGGGTATTAAATGGGGATGACAGTCACTGCTAGATGCAGGGGCAGATGAGGCGATGAAGAATTTGTTGCCGGATTACGTGAAAGGAGACTTGTCAGCTCTGTGCATATGGCCAGACCAGATCAGAATTTTGTACAAGTACCGTTGGACCAGCCCTCTTCATTACATCAACATTCCTGATAATAAATGCTCTTTCGTTTATTCCAGTATTTCCTTCTTCTTCTTCGGTAATTTGTATTTCTCATGATTAACCTCTCTCTGACACTGACACACAAACATGAACAGGGGATTGCCATGATTCTAATGGTGTGCAGGGCATGTGTGTTGCTGGCGCCATCATGAACTTCACTTCACAGCTTCTGCATTACGAAGAAGGCACCGATGATCCTCCACGTATATATGCTTCTTCCCTTTTTCACTCTCTGCCTCCTTTGTTTCTATGAAGATATTTCACTCTTCTTGCAAATGGATTGCTTCTCTCTGCGGATAATATGACTGAGGCCTTGTTGTTCTTGTCTCACTTCGTGGGAGACATTCACCAGGTTTCTGAATTATTATTTCCCTTCAATAACTTATCTTCAATTTTTGCTTTGTTTCTTGCCAATCATTAAGCTTCTGTTATCGTGGGATTCTTTTGTTGTTTCAGCCAATGTATGTTGGGTTCGCCGGTGACGAAGGAGGAAACGCTATAGCCCTTCGCTGGTTCAGGCACAAATCTAATCTCTACCATGTAAGTTTCATCTTTCACCATTTAAAAAGCTATTCCATGTATCATTATTCTGATGGCTGCCTTGCATGGGGCTACTTCAATCTTGTCAGTTTAGAAGTTGCTTCTTCGAGTGATAAGATATTTTTCTTGTGTGACTTCAGGTTTGGGACAAAGAGATCATTGTCACTGCTTTAAAAGATTATTATGAGGACAATTTGGAGCTTCTCTTGAAAGACATAGCAAGGAACTACACAGATGTGAGACGCAAACTGTCAAGCTTTAACACATATTCCCTCTGGCCAAAAATATAGGATACTTTCAACTACCTTCACAAGAATTAAGAAAAGTAGTTTGAATCATTAAATGGGTAAAAAATTATTAATACATTTCAAGATTACGCTTCAATTAAAATCAGTCTGTCTCAGTTACTTTTACTTTCTTTTTCATAGAATCTCTCTCTACAGTACATTTAATAAGGGCCTTTGTAGAATAGAAGAATTTAATACTATTGACTTCTTGTAAAGTATTCTACATTTTGAACCAATAGTTTCTTAACTTGGTCTTTCCCAGATTGCCAGAATAAAATTAACCAACCACTTCAAATTCACTTGTATGATGATTTGTTATCTAATATTATACTTCACAGGGTATCTGGTCAGATGATGTTCCATCTTGGAGTCACTGTGAAGACCTCTATAACTGTGTAAATAGGTGAGCTATTCCTCAACACATTGTCTGTCTCGGTCAAATATTAAAGACTCATCACGCGATAAGTATATGTGCTTGTCTTGGAATGGACAGGTGGGCAAAAGAGAGCAAACAAATAGCTTGCAAATGGGGTTACAAAGGGGTTGAATCTGGCATGACTCTTGCAGACAAGACAATTCAACTTTGTCATATTTACACACAATCTTTATTAAACTCACATCTGCAAGAGCTGAACTGTACAGATTCACCACAACTGTGAAATGTTCATGTGCATGCATGTGTATTTTATATACAGATGATTACTTCAACACGAGGATGCCCCTGGTGATGAAACGAATAGCTCAAGGTGGGATTCGATTGGCCATAATTCTGAACCAGGTTTCCGGGGGCACTATGGAAGGTTTTTCTGCTGCAGCTTAAGCGCTCTCACCACTACAGATAGGGACAGCAAAAGCCAGTTGTCTAACCCAATTTGTAATAATGTCATTTCTTGTCATTGTTAATAATTTAGTATTTCAATAATTGCAATGTTATGCTTGATGGTTGTCATATTGAAGGACAGAAAGAGATGAAGACATATGCTCTTATATTTTTCTTCAGGTAAGACATGTAGCTACCATCTAGTAAAATAAACAACATAAGGAAAAATTTAACTTCAATATTCTAAAGTAAACTGGTTATCGATAAAAGAAAATTTTATTTGTAATTAGTCTTTTTTCTAGTATTGATGGATGAAAATAACCCCCAAAATAACACAAATATGTCACACCAATTACAAATCAAAATTATTGGTTTGCTTCTACTAGCACAAACAGGATAGTGAAGGACACTTGAGAGCATGATGAACCAAGATATGCAGAATACAGAGTGATAATGCTGGCAAGAAACTCCAATTCCTACTTCTTTCTGGCCTCCTTCACTGCAATTGACATACAAATGTTTAAAACTCAAATCACATTTTACATATTTTGTTTTGTCAAACTGCCAACATCGTGTCTTGTTTTGAGACAAATAGCACAGGGAAGAAATATGCTTGTGTGACAAATTTGCAGGATGTGCTCTAGAACAATACTCTATGGATTTGTGTGTTGTCTCTGCATCCTACAGTGCTCTGTTACCAGTTCATCAAATGCTGATATATAATCTTATTTAAGAGATGGAACCTTTAACTTCTTGGCCACAGAATTCTTAAATCATGTCAAGAATACTAGATAATGAGTTGAAATGATGCCTGATAACCTAATAATATCAGATTTTGTGCGTTCACATATTCATTTTTAAGCCTCACAACTGAGATCTGTTTCTTATTAGTGCGGGGTTCATCTTAGGGCGCGTGCATCCTATGAAAATAATTCTAAGTGGTCTCTAAGTCTGGTCCACTTGGGTTGGTGCCTCTATGTTTATAGAATTACTAAACACTGCTAAGTCTGCTGATATAAGCTGCAGAAGATTATTTCTCTATACAAGTTTGAATATATCTACAAACACAGTCATCTACCTCTTTACAATAGATTTAATCTGTTTGTGTTGTTACGTAAAACTTTCATATCAAAGTTGTCATCGCTACCAGTATAATCTATTTTAACAAACTAAGGATTAGAAGGATGCAAATTCAATTGTAGAATCTCACTGTACACGTACGCGTAATAAGCTAGAGGAACAGGTTCTACTACGCGTCACTCATCTGGACAACTACACCCATCTGTCGTCTCTGCAAAACAGAAGATCGGTTTTCTTTCCCCTTTCCTGAGCTGAACAAGCTGTCACTAATGTTCATGACATATTCATAGTTATTTTATTGTTCTTTTCAAATTGTATCACAATTCCAATTCGTTATTACTTTCCATGAAACCTTGTGATGGGATCATAAGATCTGATAGTTCTAATCTGTGACTTAAAGGTGATCAAAACAGGATCTTTGATGTTGTTCATCAGAAGAAATACAGAGGCACAGAGCCACACTAAGTTTAAAGTCAATTTCCATTTCCTCCAACAGAAACAAAGGAAATTACAAAACCAGAAGTAAAGGATGAGAGAGAATATCAGCCACTACTGTAAACACGAACACTCCATTCTCTCTCTCTCTCGAAGTGAACACATCTGGAAGCGGAGGAGAAGGCCGAAGAGAAAGACTGAAGAAGAGCCACCACGATCCCCAACTTAACTTGACCCCTCTGCGGTATCAGACGGCGGCCGGAGAATCTGTGCGACAAACCACAACTGTTGATCAAATCTCTTCTCGTTGTCCTCCTCTCAGCCATCTTTAACCTTAGCTGTCTCTCACCAGCTACAACTCCAGAAAGCGAAATAGAGACTGTATAATTTTCTCTTTCGCAGTGAAAGACACAGAAATCGTTGTAGAAAGCCTCGTGGGGTGGAAAGGGGTTTAAATAGAGACTAGCCATCTAGCGGATCTTGAATTTTCGTGATAAAAAATCGTAGCTTCGTTTTGTGTTTCAAGTGCGTGACCATTTTTGTTTATAGTAGTTATTTTAGAGTCAGATCAGTGACCGTTCGTTGACGATGTTGACCTCTCCGTTGCCACCTGAGAACTGTCCACGTGTCTCGTTTTGCTGGATATAGAGCTTTTCTTTCTTTTGTTTTTTTTTTTTTGGGCCAAGCTCTGATATAGAGCCTTGAATTTTAAAGTCAAACATTGAATCTAACCCATTGAATCATCCTTGTTTGTCATTCGTGTAATAATAAAAAAAATTTTAGTGTGACATGATATGCATCATGGATGACTTATCTTGTTTTGGATCATATCATTATCAACACTACATCTACCCTTTGAGGATGTTAAAGTCACACAAGCAAATATGACATAGTAGATTATTCTCATTTAAAAAAAACAAAAAACAAGAGGATGATGTTTGATATCCAATCCAAGTAGTAGATGTTAAAATGTTAATTATCAGCAACATGAATTGATTAGCAATAAACAAAGATAGCGAGCCAGACTAGGGACTATTTTAATCTGTTAAAGGAAGAGTGTGTTATGGTCAAGTGAGCATTCATATCACTGAAAGTATAACAACAATTATTGAAAATGTTCGTGTGACTTAGAAAATAATAAAGTTAAAGCTATAAGTAAATATTTTAAAGTTGGCAATTTGAATCAGGGAGGTAATAAGACAAAAGGGTAATGACATAAGCACACACGTAATTGAACCTGACGATGACGGCCCACGCACTCTTGTGGGCTCACATGTGCCGCGCTTTCATAATTTGCATGGCATTAAAATTTAATTTGAATTTACCAATTACCACTGAAACTAATGAACTGGTGAACTGTCAGTTTTTTGATCGGTCTGGTGAAAAATTTTGGACTAGTCAATCACGTTGAATCCTATAGTTTACTCCTCCTTGCCGAGACTAAACAATTGATACATTTGTTTATAAAATGCTCTTACTTTATTTTTTATTTTATCTTAATTACAGTTTTTTTCCTATTTTTTGAAAAATATATGAATATTTACAAAGTATAAACATTTTCTTCATTTTTAAGATTTCATTTCTATCCGCTCAATTATTAGTTAAATGTTAAATTACATATCTTAGACAAAAATACCACTCCTTAAATATAAATATGGTCCAAATATCATTCAAATTATTCAAAAAATAATAACGCATGTATTTTTTAACCTTTTTAATTAATTTTTAAACCTTTTATTTAAGAAAATTAAATGCATAAATTGGAAAAATAATATAATAAATACAGCTAAAAAATTAATGAAATAAGGATTTAATATAAGAAATTACTAAATATAATTTATTTTTATTTTTATTTATTTTGGTAATTTTAACACAAAAAATTAAATTATCTATTTATTAAAAATAGATACCTTTTTCATTTCTATCATAATTCCTCCTGCTAGAAACAATTTTGTTTGAAATACAGTCAAGTATTAAATATGGATACCTCTCCGAATGAAAATTTGAATTCACATACTTAATTTATTAAAGTTTTAAATTTGGGTGAGGGAGTAGATAATTAAAGGAAAATAAATAATTTTAAAGTTTCCAACAAAATTACAAGTAAAAAATTAAATATTTAAAAATATTTTACAGAATATTCTTAAGAGTATTAAAAATTAAATCAAAATATAGGTTCTGAAAAAAAATTTTAAAAAAAAAAGACTTTGTGATTGTAACCAAATGGAATAGATGTTATTGTATTTGATTCTACTTTCATTGCAAATATCGGCCGGAACAAAATACATTACGTGTGATCAAATGTATAGGTTGGTTCAGTTTTGATCAAAATATGAATCAAACTAAATCAATCAATTTACATAAAAAAGACACTTGATCATTTTTTATTAAGATCGTTTAGTTTGGTTTTTTGATGTTTTGTTTTGATTTGATTTACACAAAGGTCATGTTTTAATTTTTTTTAATATATAAAATTTAATATTTATGCGAAGCATAATTTTTTACTTTCTTTTTCCTTTGTATTCCAACTTTAAATCACATTCTCAACTTTATAATTCATGAATGAAAATGAATATCATGTTTAAAATAAAATTATTCAAATTTCATTATCAATAAACATTAGAATATATGCATTTGTAACTAACAAGAGTACAATTTTTTGTTACAAATCGTCTTTATATCTATAATAAAAAATAACTTGTTTAAAATCAAAAAAGGAAATTCTATATCTAAAATTATCTAAAAGATCATTCTTGGCATAACACTGAGTATATGCATTTGATTCTTCAATAACCAAATTGAGAAAGGAAGGGTTAGGGATTCTATTAAAATATTTTGGGTTTGGGATGAATTTTAGTTGAAATTAAAATTTTAAAAATAAACACTAAGAGTCTAATATTAATCATAAAAAATAAATTTAAAAATATAAAAGGAATGGCTCAGGTTTAGTTAAGGTGTCAAAAGAAAAAAATGAAATTTGAACCAAACCATTCCATTTTTAAATTTACAAAACTAAATTAAACATCACTAATAATTAGTTTTATTCAATTGTTATTGAATTAGTTTGGTGCAACTGGTTTTGTTCAGTTTTGCCCATCTTTAAAACGCAAGTTCTTAGTATTGTTATTATCATCATCCTTAAAGTATTATATTTGTTGGCTTATTAAAAAGGAAAGAAAAAAAAACAATTGTTGCACACATTAAGGTTCTAGTCTTCTTGACCATCTGAAACAAGATTATTTTTTTCGATACACAGGGGGTAAAGCCCAAACAAAATTACACTGGAACTAGCTGTGAGCAAGTCAAGCCCAATTTATCCTTGTACAATACATCAAAAAAACCTTCAGGAGGCTCACTCAAAATCTGTAGTCCACATTCCTGTGATAAACTTTAATTAGCCAACCAGTCAGTACTAAAATTCCCTTTCCTATAAGTATGGGCCACGCATATTGTAATGTTTGCCATGACATTACCAAGACAATGCTCTTTCATACTGCTATGATAACCCAGATTAGATATAATCATAAGTAAAAGTTATCACAACCCAAGAGTTTAAAAGATGATGAGTTAAAATAATGAGATTTCAAGAAAAATCCTTTTTAAAATAGTGCTTGAGCTCAAACCATAATTACAAATATAGAAGCATGAAAAA